GCGCATCGAGGCACCACTTCTCCGTTCATCCTGAGGCCGAGTCCCACATGCAGCAACTAGAAGGATGTGCAGCTATGACACACAACTATCCACTGGGGCTTTGGGGGGAAAAATAAAATAAATAAAATCTTAGAAAATTGAAGAAAAGATCAGAAAGGTGGAAGAGATAAAAAATAAAGAGGACTTTTATAATAGCCCAGTGACAGAAGCTCATGGTTTGACTAGAGTGTCTGCGTTAGGAAGAAATCAGATTGACTGCTCAGGCCCAAAGGGCTGCATGAAGAAATGGAACAAAGGAAAACACAAAAGCTGTGATGGAACCCTGCCCACCGTCACCACCTCACTTTCTGTTTGAGACAAATAGATGGGTCTTGAACTCATTTCATCCTTGCAACCCAACCCTAATACTGCCTATCCCATTGTTTGGCTTCTATTCCCATGCCCACCTGCAGTGAGCCATAAGACTCATGCTTGTTTGAAACTAACAGTATACTGAAGCAGACACCCACCAACCTCTGTTTGGAATGAGAAAAAGGAATTTCTGATTGCATACTTCATGAATTGAGCCTCTTTTCCTAACTGCATCCAAATTCTGCAGACCCTGTATAGCCAGCACCCTCTATGTACCTCCTGCATTTACCGAGCACATTCTTTGCTTAAGCATTGTCACACTTTCACACGCATCATCTCAATACCTCTCCGGAGTATTAGGTGGTTACATCCTGTATATTTAAGAAAACGGAAGCTCAGCAAAGTTAAGGAACTTTTCAAATGACATGTTAATAGTAGAAAAAGGAGATTCGATTCCCAATTTCCAAAGCCTCTCTTGTTTTGTATCACTATGAAGTTTCATGTTAGAAGGATTCTTGTCCAGTGAAGATGAGCTTGCAAGTTCTAGAGCTTTATATTAGCTTTACATTAAAATTTTATGCCATTATTTTTGTGAATGTGTACTTATGCTTAATAATTTAGCATCCCATTGCTTCCTACATCCCATTGCTTTCTACAACTTCGTAGAAAATATTGGCTGGATGAGGACAATTATGGGAGAAAATCCCAACCATTAAGAGAATCTTTTCTTTTGCTCCACAGATTAAAAATTACTGGTGATGCTAAAGAAAATAGCTGTGTTTACATTTCATGGACAGACATTTTGTCTGAGAACTGTGAGACAGAAAATAAATGGATCTGCCAAAAAGAACTAAAACCTGCCAGAAATAAAGTATGTCCTGACTCTTAACTATACACACCGTCTCAATTTCTTTACTTTCCTTTACAAGTCTCTGTAATTTTAACTATATATACTGTTAAAATGGCCTAATATTCATTTAGTGGCACAAAGTGAACAAATATCTAGAATTCAAAAACTGTTGTGAATCTTACAGAAGTTCATGTCTAAACTATTTATTCTATAAATGAGGAGACAGATACACAGAGAAAACATATATCACTTTAAGAGTCAGTGATGTTCTATAGAAAGAAGCCTAGACCAGCTGAGGGGAATTGCTTTCTAATCCTGGCATATATGTGTAGCCTTCACTGATCCCTCTGTGCCTTAGCTTATCTGCAAAACAGTTGTAGTGATTTCTAAAGTCCTGTGTATCTCTCATAGTCTATGATTTTCCATATCATCACACAACTGGGTTGTGGCAGAATATTGATTAAAGTCCATTCTCTTGACTCTTAACGTCAGAGACCCGTAACTAAAGGAGTTTGGAAAGAAACCTTAACTCTTCCTGCCATTCTAAAGTTCTTCTCATTTAAATTTTCTCATTACTTCTTTATTTTCGTTCTATGTCTCCTTCTTTCTATGGCTCACACACAAGCTGTAGGAAATACGTAATCAAAGTTTTCACTGTTCTAATGGAAAATAAGTGATATTTTTTCAACTCTGCAGTTGGGAAAATAAATGTAACAAAAGAGAAATGTTTATTCTGATAGATCTCTTGAGTGCTCACTTTTTAAAAGCATATGCCAAATTTTCTACAGAAATTAAATAAATGATAAAACTGAATTTACCCTATAAGGAGACTTATAATAAAATTTCTGAAACATGGATGTCTATTTACTCTGATAATTGAATGCTGATTTGGATTATATAAATTCAAGTATGTACTATACTGACAAAAATAACATTTCAGTTTCTGTTTTCCATGCATGATGATTTACAATACTGGTTAATATAAAATTTTAAACACATCAGAAACCCAAAGTACAATTCATTTTGTGCCAATTACTTAGGAAAACATTCTAGACAAGAGCATCATTATGAAATAATGTATGATAAAAGTGAGATTTTTGAAGTATTTGATGCTTTGGGGGAAGAGACCTGTAAAGAACAGAAATGTGAAAAAAATATTACCATGATTGACAATGTACATTCCCATCTATTTGGAATGATGTTTGAAGAAATCTTCTAAAGCAGTTCAGGCTCTCTAAGTCCATTCAGTTAGTCCAGAATTCGTTCCACACATGAACCTTTTCCTTCTCCTATACTTGCTGGATCTGAAATCAAATACCCCCAAAGCTCACATCTGTAGGAACCTTTTACAATGAAACTAACCCAAGGAGTTAGATTCTGTCACTGTCATTTGCTGTTGCAGTATTAGATAATCGAGTAAACTTACAGTTGGATATGATACTGCCTTGATCATCTCTGAAACTCATATTATGAAGGTGTAATTCCGTGAGAAAGGCACGTCTAACCATATTCAAAGCAGATTAAAAAATATTAGATCTCAGGGGAAAATTTTGGTTACAGTATTTGAGTCAATGTTTATTGACAATAAATTAACTGCCATTCCAAGCCAAGTCAAAAGAGATAATTATTATGTCATTCAAGATCTTCCATCCCCATTTCCTCTGTGCAGCCTGTGCTCCAGGCACACTTACTCCTCACCATTCTCCAAACACATCATGACGATTTATGATTTTACTGTTTAATGCGCATTGTCCCATAAGTGTGAGATGTACACAACCCCTTTATTCTTTGCCTAGAAAAATCCTAGTAATTGTGGATGGCTTGAATCAAATGTTAGTTCCGTTATGAATTTTTCCTGAAATCTCTCTGTCTCTCACCATTTGTAATCTATTTCTTCCCACTTTCCTGAAAGATGATTTAATTTCTTTTTTGCTGTATTATAATTAGTTGTTTTTACGTTTGTAAGGCTGCTTCCACTTCTCTCCTGTCTAGATATGGACAAGTATCAAGCTAGAACAATTCAAGGAAGAAAAGAGACTGTCCCTGACTCATTTTAATATAGTAAGCTAAGAAGAGTAATGGCATAGTGATGGTCTGTTTATGGGGTAGTAAATGGACCTTGAGGCTGGACCAGTGAGATTCTTTTTGTTTATTTTCTATGCTATATGCTTGGATTTGAAGTTGATTTGCTTCTGTTTTACCTTCCTGCCCTCTCATTCAACAAAGCTCTTTAATATGCATGGTGTGAGTGAAAAAGTAGATATCACGGAAAAACACTTATGGTGGGAAAAATAAAAAAATAAAATATTCTTGGGGCCAACCCCATGGTGTAGTGGCTAAGTTTGATGCGCTCTGCCTTGGTGGCCTGGGTTCCTGGGTTGGGATCCCTGGCACGAACCTACACTGCTCATCAGCCATGCTGTGGTGGCAACTCACATACAAAAAGGAAGAAGATTGGCACAGATGTTAGCTCAGAGCTAATCTTCCTCAAGCAAAAAGAGGAAGATCGGCAACACATGTTAACTCAGGGCAAATCTTCCTCAGCAAAAAATATAATAAAATAAAATATTCTTGATGCACTAGCCTAGGTTTTGTTAAAATCATTGTTTTCAATCTACAGATGTATAGGCAGCTAGCAATCAGATTCTTCTCTTTGTAATACAGGTATGTGTAAACAAGAATAACATAGACTTCCATACCAACCAGCTCGGGAAAGGGAAATCAAAGAAGTACAGGTAAAAAAGATAATTATAAAAAAATAATTTTGAGTTCTAAACACCTGTAAAGTCATGAAGCAACTAACTTAACCTGCTCTGGTGGGGACAGTCTTTAGTCTACTCTTTGGCAGCAATTCAAGTTTACTTCTGCAATTGTTTGTGAGGAACTCCATTCTGCCACCTTGTGGATTTATTTGGTTTTGTTTTTGTGGCTGTGGCTGTGCTTGGCCCCTTCCAACCAAGCAAAACAGTTCTGTATCAGTGAGAACAGGTCTATCCATTTAGTCCCTTTGCAACGACGTGTTTATTTCTTTCATAACATACGAAATTGGAAAATTATTTGTTTATTTGCTTATTATTTTGTTATTGTTGCTATTGTAGGGGAGGAAGGCATATCCTCTACCCACACTGGGTCCTTCTGGATGGAGCATAAATTAAATTGACATGAGACAGAATAAGAGAAGAAAATCAAACAAAGCTTTATAGCATGTATACATGGGAGAGACTCAGGAAAAACTGAGCAATGTGCCAAAATGGCGGAGGTTTTCATTTTAAATAGTATCTTCAGGTAAAGACAAAGGAGGATGTTGGGAGTAAAGGGAGTCAGCTATGAGAGATTACCAGAAAATCACTGTAAATAAGAGTAAGGTTATTATGCAGATTTAAGTCCTCACCTTCCACATTGATAACAGTTTCTAGAGACAAGCTCATCCCTCCTTCTTCCTGGTACAGAGAGGGAGATACCTTTACAAATGGAGATTTCCCTTACAAATGTAAATGTCTCTTACATAGGGTAACGTCTACTCTTCAGAACTTTTCCCACGTCTGCAGTTTTTAAAAGTAACCAACCCAAAATATTCCTCATGCCAAAGAGGCACACTTTGGGGTGGCCAATTCTGATCACCCACACTATTATTATTTTGTTATTACTGCTACTACTATTATTATTAGGCTCTCTCCATGGGAATATGACCTCCATGAGGTCCATTGAGGGCAAGGACCTTCATAGTATTAGTAACCCATGCATGGTTCTGGCACAGAGTAGATGCTTAAGAAATATTTCCTGAACAAATAAATTATTATATAATCAAATTTATTCATTGAATGGGCTTACTTAGGCAGTGCTTGCTTGAGGTCTCTAATGTAGTTGGAGTGAGATGGTGATTGGGGCTGGAGTTATCTCCAAGCCTCCCTCACTCACATGTGTGGCTGCTGATTATGACTGTTGCCTGGAACCTCAGCAAGGTGGCTGAGTTACAAGAGCAGTTTTCCTAAAAGGATCATTTTTCAAATAATAATAATATTAAGCAGCATAGAATAATTTGTCAACATTTAGGAGGTGACCCACTAATAGAGCTAGCACCCAAGTCTGATCTTCAAGGTATATGAAGCCACCTGTGCTCTTTATCCAAACACTATCAATCAGGGCTCTTTCAAAATAAACATTGGAACACTGCATAATCAGAGTGGACTTTGGTTTTATCCCTTGTGCTGCCTGGGAAATTTTCAGTGTTCTACTTTAGGAAATAGGTAACCATTGCATGGCTAAAAATTCCCAGGCAAAGACATTCAATATGCATAATCTCTAAATGTAATTCCAATTTTGACCGAAATTGCTCTCCAGGTAGCTCATTTTCTTCTCCAAGTTTTTGTTCAGATATTTTTATTCATTAGTAATTATTTTCAGGCTGAAAACATAAAAAACAATATCCAATTATTACTACTTTATTTCATTTGATTGTTTGCTGCTAAAGGGAATATAGGATGATTTAAATTAATGATTAATTTATAAGTTAAGTGATTTTATCTAACCAGCAATGGAGGGGTGGATCTAGAATGCAAGGTCCTCAATAACAATTATCCTTGCCTGTTTCTTCACTGATGAATCCCAGGAACCTAGAAAAATGCCTGGCACATGGTAGGCACTCAGTGACTATTGAATGAATAATGATACAAAAAGAAGTATAAATATTCCATGTCAGAGTTTAAGCTCTGTAGGAAATTGTAGGTAGTTAATAAAAATTGTTTCAGGAGATGCTATATGGGATGAAAATGCCTTTGTTAATACTGTTTTTCTAATTGAATGCTCTTATTTTCTTCTTTACCTGTTGAAAACTTTGAATATTTAAGACCCAAATTAAGTCTATCTTCTATGGAGCTACTCGTGATTGTTTCAGACTGCAGTAAATGTTTTTTTCTATGATATCTTATTGCACTTTCAATCTTGGTCACATACTTTGTATTAAATGTATTATCTCTCTCTCAATTTTGTTATTGTGCTAAGACAAATGTAGGTCTCTAGGGCCCTTTATTGTATTTATTTTAAAATTTTCACAGTACTTAGCATTGTCTCAGTGTATGATTGAGCTGCTTCTGGCTTACCTATATTCTTTCCTAAATTAGCACCTATTGCAGTTATCAACCAGAGACAGACCAAAACAATCCAGAGGAATAATTGCTAACCAAAATAACCTCCAAAATTTCTAACCAATCGAATCAGAGCAGACAAATCAGCAGCTAATTATTCAAAAATGTTTCAAATTTAAGTAATGAAATTATATAATGCTAAAATACAATTATAATTAAAACAGTAAGTACAAGTACAACTGTACTTGCTACTTGAACCAGTTAAGTTTTGCTGCTTAACAAATCACCTCAAAACTCAGTGGATTAAAACACAATGATTTAGTTTTGCTCACGAGACTACAGGTTAGCAGGAAGTTTCTATTGATCTGATCCTAATTCAACTGATTTTGTCTGGGCTCACTCATGTATCTGTTGCATCTGTCGGCAGCTGACTGATCAGCTGAGGGCTGGCTGGTCTACGGGACCTCAGTCACCTGTGGGGCAGTTGGCTTATTGTCCACTTGGCTGATAGATCCATGTGTTTCTTATTCTCCATCACATTATCTCAAATGGTTCACATGGTGGCTGGGCAGAATTCTGAGAGGTAGAGGAACCTGGGTTTCTGACTGAACACCGTCACTCTCCCCACATGCTGTTGGACAAGTCAAGTCAAAAAGCCAGACCAGATTCAAGGGGGAGGGGAAATAGACTTCTGCACTTGATGGGAGGAGACACAAAGCCACATTACAAAGGGCATGGGTACAAGGACAGGTAGAGAATCAGAACTGGTACTAATTTTTTCGTCAATTTTTATGTAACCCTTTGAAATTATTTCCATTTGCGCCATACTCCACACAGCGTATATGGAGAAATTTCTTCTATTCATTGGGATGTTGGTACTAGACAGCCATAAACGTGTTTTCCCATGGAAGGATTCAACAATTCTGTAATTGCACCCACAAAAATTAAAAGGGAGGGGAGAAAAGGGACTTTCAATCAATAAAATATGTCACTTAGTTTGAAAATGTTTTTCCTAGGAAATGGCCTTTAGTTTTGAGGAGGGAAAGAAGTTGCAAATAGTTTTGTAACAATGGACATGATAAAACAGGGAAGATCTGGATCCTTTTGAAGCAAGCAGAACAACTGTAAAAGAACACCAGGATCCTGGAAGTGGCATGTCAGAAATGTCGAGAGGATCATGAACAAGATGAATTGCCCGCCGTGTGAGAAAGATAAAGTTCACAGGATAATTCATTCAGAACCAGCTCTATTTCATTTTGTCATCAAAGAAATTTATCATTTAATTGCCAGATCCTCATCATATGTCCTATTGCCCACTGCCTCTTCATCCCTTATTATTTTGTTGTGTTACTCTCCCCTCCTTGCTTGCATATGGGATGGCAATGTGTAGGAGCAGGAAGGGAAGTAATTGAGTTTAATTAACTGTCTCTATGATAACAATTACAGAAAATCTATCTATCTATCTATCTATCTATCTATCTATCTATCTATCTATCTATCTATCATCTACCTATGTTTTTAGAAACACCTATCCATGTGCTGCAAACAGTGCACAGAGATAGTTTATGGCATCTGTAATCACATATGTACACGTTTTAAAAGGAACTATGTTTCCTTCCCCATAGGAACCTACTCACAGCAACAGAATGTCAGTTGAGTTTACCAGACATTTCCTCCTAGTGTCATTGTCTCTGAGGACTAAGATGTGGAAGTACATTATTAGAAAGTTACCATATTCAAGTCAAACCAAAAAGAGAAGTAACTCTTTTTACGAGTGGAAAGAGAGCCAAAGATACCTGAGTCCAAATTTCCTCACTTTGCATGTGAGAGCTACTCACAGCTGCCATGGGTAAGGTCACAAAATTAAACACTGACAGAGCCAGGACTAGAAACTAGGTTTCTCTCAAACTGTGAGTCCTTGCTTCTTTTCATTTCAGTGTTTCTTCCACTTTCCAGCATGCCTATTTGAATGTTAACTGTTCAACTGTAGTGTAAATTTTCTCCGTGATTCTTGCCTTCTGAGATTTTTACGCATGTCTACTCCTAGAGCCAGTATTTGAGGACATTAAGAAATATTTTTTTCTGGATTCTCCTTTCACAGCAAGAAGGTTCTTATATAGTAAATTCAAAAACGAGTCTATCGCCACCTTGTGACTGTAATGTACGGCTGCAACTATAAAAGTGCAACTTTTAGGGGGAAAGTTTCGTGATTACAGGGTTCAACAATGTTATAAACCAATGTTACCGCAATAAACAAAAAATTAAAAAAAAAAAAAAAGAATAGTTGAATAAGCACTGATATTTTCCTCACCTAGATCCAATAATTATTACAACTTTTCCATGTGAACTTTACCTCTCTCTCTTGCTTCTTATTTTTTTTTCTGAATGATTCAAAAGTAAATTGCACATATAAATAAATCTATGAAAATTAAAAAATAATTCAATATATATTCTAAGATATATTTTATATCCAAATTTTCCACAAATGTCTTTTGGGACCCCTTCCCTCCTCAATCCAGGATCTAATCAAAGTTTGCCCTTTGCATTTGGTTGCTGTCACTTTGGTCTCTTATAATAAAGAATAGTCCCTCTGCTCTTTCTTTTTTCTCTAGGGCATTCATTTATTGAAGAGTCTGGGCCAATTTTATTATAGAATGTCCTACATTATGGATTCTGATCCGATTTTTTCCTCATAATTTCAGTGTCTGTTTTAACACGTGGCCCCCAATATCTTTGACATTTGCCATTGAAAGGAGGAGTTTGTGCCCACCGCCCTTGAATGTGTTGGGGCTTTGACTACTCCAATAAATGTGACATCCGATGCTAGATCATAAAACTTGGTGTAGCTTCTGCCTACACTGAGAAGCTCTTGGGAAGCTTGCTCTTGGAACTCAGCCTCCAGGCTGAGAAGAAGTGAGACCACACATAGGTATTCTGGACAACAGTCCAAGCTGAAGTTCTAGGTGACAGTTATCCTCAACTGCAAAATAAGTGAGGAAGGCTTTGCGATGACTCCAGACCCAGCCAACATCTGAGTGCAACTGCACTAGAAACTCGAAGAGAGAACCGTCTGGCTGCACCTGTCAGCACTCAGAGCAGCACGAGATAATAAAATGAGTGAGGTTGTTTTAAGCCACTACGTTTTGGAGTAATTTGTCACTCTGCCATATATAACTGGAACAGTCCTATTTACACTGCTCCTCCGTCGCCTCCATGAGGCAGGTGCCACTAATGATGCTTCATTATAACCACCTGTTACTTCTGTTTTCTAAAACAAATAAAGAACTTCCTGGTCTAAAGGAGCTCCTATCCTAATTGTTTAAGTTATGGCAGCGTATGTATGTTTTCAACAAAATGTATCAATCAGTGAAATCTTGTCTCTCAGTGTTTATGACTATACGACTTTTAAGACTTTTAAGTCTCAGTAGATGACACTATAATGACTTTCAAGATCATTCATTTCTTATTTTTTATTCTTTATGTTTGCTTCAGAGATGAGACAGAAGCTCTAAGAGGCTGTTGGTTAGCTATTATTTTTTCTAAAAGTCTTTTCTAAACAGGAGTATCATACAGTTTATGCAATGAGAAAATAAATGGGTTCAAGTCCTAATCCAGCCACCTGAACTGTGTGATCTTGAATAAGTGACTAAATCTCTTGGAAATTTAATTTAATTAACTCATCAATAATAAGAGCATTCAAGACAATGACATTGTCTCTGGGTAGGAAGTTGGCACATCTCATACATTTAGATATGCAGTGCTGTCGATATCATTTATTGTAAATACTCTGTAGTTACTGTTTAAAATTCTTCTCAGCTCAAGAGTTATTTAGAAGAGTGATTTCCTTTCTTCCAGATATTTAGTTTTTTGTTTAAAACATTTTAATAATTTATAAAATAATGACAAATATTTAACTGTGTACTTTGTATTTTTTAAAAAAGAAATGGTGTGTTCTCTGAGGTGCATAATTTGAATAGCTC